ATTCTATTCCATAACTTTGTTCAACCAGCAAAGCTGTAAAAAATTTCAATCGATAATTTAGACAAAGCTTCAAAAATTCAAGCGATTTCGGCAAATTTAACTAGCGTGAGAGGTTGCAAAATGCGAATAAATCATAAAGAAAAGGGATCTTGATGTATAAAATAGTAGAGATCCATCAGCTTGCACTTGAACTGAGTAGAAGTTCAATATGTTCCTAATATGGTGATACTTGTGTTGTTGCGAAACTGAGTTGAAATTAGTTTGGTACATAGCCTCTTCAGAATTCAGCAAAATTTCGCATGAAATTTAGCATATGCATTTTTGCAAAAAGCTCTTTGTAAATGGGTTTGCATAAAGCAAATGTGCGAACTTACTAAATTATTAGTCAGTTTTCTGACATTGTGCATGGGAGAAATGAAGGGAGGCGTACATGTGACAGCAAATGCAATGCACTTTGAGGATTTAACTTCCGCTTCCTTGGAGGTTTCCATAAATTTGCTGGGCGTGATCGGACAACCATAATAACTGGTAAATCAAAAGTGTGTCAAGTTAAATCAAATCAAGTTGTTGAAAATTCAAATTGCTGAATGAGGAGGCTGTACACATTGTTTGAAGCCTCTGTAGTTGTTATGAAAATTACGTCTAATATGTGCATTCATTTCCGTAACAACACATTTCTGAGACGAGGGCTTTTCATGGACTTTGTAAAGAACAGAAGATTCAGATCATTTAAATATAGTATTTACTTGATGAAGAATATTTTTTACCATAAAGATTCAGGTGATTCTGAGGGTACTGTTCCTCCATTGTTCGTATATATTATGTACTTTATCCATGCTTTGCCGTTTACAAATTCAGCTATCAATTGGATTCTTTATGGTAAGCAATTATTTCTGTTTTTAGTGTATACTCAATATATATTTTATTCTCAGGTGCTTTGAATGGTCAGCTACAGCAACGTTATCGGGGTGCACGATTGAGTACTAACACCATAACAACAAGGACACCAGCCCCATGTAAACAATATGAGAAACCTAAAGTAAGCTTCGTATCAGTACGAATAGTTGGGTAACCCCCTCCCCTCCCCCTTCTTATTTTATATTGCTTCAGATGAATGGATCCACTACATTTCTCAGTCCTCCTACGGATGGAATGGGTAGTTCTGGAGAACACGACGCTGATGCTTCAGAGATGGTTGACGTGCGATTGCTTACTGCTCATGAACCCACTTATCTATAGCCATCCTGAATGCATTTGTTAGCTTGTTTAGATCAAGTTCATTGTTGTTTTGTGTATGAGTACGGGTACATAAAGATCTATGACTAGTGTTGAGGAT